TAACACATAAATCAGAAGCCCAATAAGAAGTTGCAAGTGGACAAGGTTCTGATAACGCATAAATCAGATAAATGGTGGCTTTATACATTCATATTAATACAGGGTTTAGCATTTGTATGACTTTTACTAAGTAACCGAACAGTCATTTCTGGAAGGCTTACATTATTCCATCTACTTAGAGAACAAACTGATGATAAAAAAAGACAATAAAGACATTTATTTATGCTACACCAAGACATGCAGGGAAATCAATTCCAGAATTATCCTGCCTAACAAAAGAACTCTGATCACTTTAGACATGACCAGATTTATCATACAAATAGAAGCCACTAAATCCAGAAGGAAGGTCTCATTTTTGATTAGTTTGTACTCTCAAAATAATTCTGGCCAAAGCAGGCCTACAGTGAATAACTACAATAATTAAGTCAAGTTTTGTGTGCTGTGTGAACATAAAAAAGAAAGCAGAAATGGATCTGTAACTGAAACTACAAACATAAAACAGAAGATTTTTTGGCAACAATAAGTTACTAACTGTTTACATGAAGGTGCCAACTTCCAAAAACTGGAGAAAGAGGAGTGAGTGTGTTGCCCAGAATAATCAGCTTCCATCTGTCTTTTTTCTAGTTCCGATTGGTTGGCTGGATAACACAGACACTTTCCTGTTTGTAAACCTGCACTACAAATATACATGTATGCAACTTTCTTATTTTACTTCTCCATACTGCAAAACAGAAATGTGGTTGTGTATGTAACTTGGCTAACTGGTCATGCTGACCGGGAGTTACTGTGCATATTATAAAATAAGTGGGTTCCCCCACACTTTGTGGCACCTACAATCAAATATATGACATATTACATTTTCAGTCTACAAACACATAGAACATGAGCATTATTATGAAAAGCTAGAGTATTTCAGTACACTTCAGTTTCCAATGCAAAAATAAGTTAACAGAAAAGTAACAGCGTCACCTGGGATTCCATAGTAGATTTTTCCTATGATCGCAATGATGTGCCAATCTCAAATCTCCCATCTCTTTTTAGTTTTGAAGAACAATCTTAATTTTCGACCTTCAGCGGGTGCAGTTTTGCATAATTAAAGCCACAGAGGGCAGATCAAGAATGTTTTTAAAACGTGGGAGATGTGCAATTGTCCCACATTAAAAATTGGTTGAAAGCATAGTAAAATAAAAAAAGTTTCCACTAAGATAAACAAAAAAATGGAGCATATGATTTCCCCAATTAAAAGTTCTAAACAAAATAATAACAAAAAAATCCCAGACTCGGTAGTTCCCTAACAATTATTCAACATCCTACTGTTTCCCTTACTACTTTTCCTCTGACTACCCTTTGACATGCTGAATGCCGATATACCTAGTGTAAAGAAACACCAGACTGGAGCCGACTCTGATATGCAAATAAATACATGCTTTCATCTCCCAAACATCTTCTCATATGTAAATCTTCAGAAAATCACAGTGCACTGGCATAGCAAGTGTTACAAAATATAGGCTACAGGTACCTATTTATAGGTAGTCCTTTCTTTAAATATATACACCTGTCTCATAAAACATTTTCCAAATGACTTTAAAATGTATTAAAGAGATTATGTACCATTTCTAGCCCAAAAAGGTTACGGTGATAAAACGAACAATGTTTCAAGTGTTTATCGTACCATTTATGTACAACGTATGGTATATTAAACGGTATATATCTAAAGCTGCATAGTTTTAAGAAGCAGAGTAAAGTCTGATTGATTTTGTTGTGAAATAACACTTGCAGCATCCCTTATATATGGTCTACCGGTTGTTGTTACCTATTGCACTAAAATACCATCCAATGATGCACCAAATTCAGATTCTATCCACTAATTCATGTCAGCTAACATTGCTGCAAGTAGAATCATTGTAAGTGGGTTACTGTGACTATGAAGCTGCTGAAAAACCCTAAACACTATATACCAAGGGAGTTGGAGGTTCTCAACAGCCAAAATGAAATATATATTCAGCTTTAGAACAAGGAACTTTAGAAATGGAAACAAGGCACTGTAAATCAATTTTTTCTAGAGATTCTATATAAAGAAGCTTGCAAGCTATATGCTTGCTGTTAAAGTATATGTAAACCCAATCCCTCATTAAAGCTTTAACATTAGTTTCAAAAAACAGTTTTTAAAAGACATTTTGCACGAAGATCGATGCCTTTTATTGTGTAAAATTTAGGGGTTCACGGATGCTATTGCTATGCTTCAGGAGCTGCGACAAGAAGAGCTTTGGCTCCGCCTTACAGAAGCCACACTGTCTTTTGCTGGCTACTTCTCTCTCATTGCCCCTTCACAGATCGTTTTGTATCCTGTGAACCATTCACAAAATACCATCTGCATATACTACTGGGACTTTTCAGGTGCTATCTTAATTGATTCACACAATATACTTCCTATATAAAATCTTTTGTTTTATTATACAAAAACTCTATAAATCAAAATCATAAAACATCATTGCTTCAGTACTTGTGTTTATATGCACCGAATCCTCTCACATAAGAACCCTACTACTCCCATCAAGAAAGTTAGGTATGTGGTGCAAGGGAAGTTATAGTAGCCAGGACATTTACTGACTATTCACAAAAAGCAAAGGGTTCTGTGAATGGGCAAGGGGAGAGGAGGAGAGAGCAAGCAAACAACTTCAAACGACTCTCATCTTAGCGCTGAAGTATAGTGATAGATTTACTATTCGGCACAAATAAAACCCAAAATTAAACACAAACCACAGAGATCCTGGAGGTGGCATAAACCTTGTAGGATGTAACTAGTTGTAACGGCACAATTAAAAAAAACAAAAAAAAACATCCTGCAGTCTTTCAATAAAAATAAAAAAATACCTGGTGATCTGGCTGTCAAGGTCCTTGTGCAAGCACTTTATTTTATAGGATGACAATGCTTTGTCCCAGTCTCTCAGTTGTCCTATGTTGTCACCCTGTTACATGCTCTGCCCCGATATAGACTACAAGCAGTCCTGCCAACGCTCACTGCATTGCACAGGTATGTTTCACCCGCTATCACCATGAGAAAGCCTACCCTGAGAAAAGTCATGAAGCCATCACTGGAGTGCATGCACGGAAACAGAAAGTGGCTACAAAAACTGCAGGAGATCAGCAATTCTGATATGCAACAAGGGATAAAAAGAAATGTGTTTAGGATAAACAGTGTCTTAGCAAACAAAATGTCACAGTTTGGGTTTACATGCACTTTAAGATAATATTGGGCTGGAAAAGAAATACATTATTTATACAAAATAGAGATTATTCCAAAAAAATGTGAAGTAATCTATGTTATAAATGCATTAGTTTCATTATTGAACAAACAAAATAATTACTGTATTCTATTTGGACATTCTAGGTCTTTCCATTCTTAGTACATTTTAACAAATTGTGAAGGAGGTAAGCCCAGATGTGTGGAATGACCACATTGACCTGGGCCTACAGCAATCATTTTTTTTTAAGGAAAAGCAGATGGTAAGGTCAACTATCATCATTTTTTTTCATGTCTTTCGCAAGTCTTCATATTAGGAAAGTAACATTTTAGTACACATAAAATATATCTGGTTATATTATTTGAGGTGTGGAGAACTTTGTGGCCATAGAAATGTTTGGTAATGCCCCTGCTTGTAGGGGCAGCTATTCTATATGTCCAAGACAAAACAAATAATCTGTTCATGGGATAAAAGAATATGAAGAATTTTACCATGGTCGAATGAGTACTTCAATTACAACAAAACTGGGGTTAGAGTGTTGTTAAAACAAGAATGCTCCAGTGGGCATTAAAGCTTAAAGAAGAACTCCAGGAAAATTTTTTTCATCAACCCTTTTAGTGAGGCTACAGCCACACTTCATGAGTTAACTGTGCGTTTTTGTCTAAGTAAAAAAAAAAAAAGTTATAATCACCTGAACCGGCTTGTTCTTAGAACGGGTCTTCCAGCCTCTCTCCCCCTCTGCTGCAGTGGCCTCTGGTCCCGTAAAATCATTACATTCTATACACCGAGTATAGATCTGAGAATGCTGAGGAACAGTCCAATGATGCAGTGTAGGAGAAGAGAGGCGGGAGGGAGAGCTGTGACAGCTGGCCGGCTCGAAGCTTCTGATGGGTATAACATTGCTATTTTTTAAGCTAGACAAAAAAGAGCCCCTAACTACTCCTGCACTGCAAGGGTTAATACATTTTTTTTCCTGGAGCTCTTCTTTAATCAAACTTAAGTATAACATTTTTACTAGCAGGTAACACAACATGATAATAAAAATGGAGCCTAAAGGTTTTCTCCACTGTATCTAAATTGTGACGATGCCATGCAGGAACAAAGAAGGCTCCCTGCATGTTCCACCAACACCTGTACCCACATTATTTCTTCTTTTAGAACAGGTATAATGGCTGGACCGTTTGTTAGTATATGTGACTTAGTTTGAAGACATAACGAAAAACAATGGTGGCACTGAGGGTTCAAATATTGCTCACCAGAGGCCATTGAGAGTAGTGGACCTTTCCGTATAAGCACATCAAGGGTCTGAAGGTGTTGACATCTTAAATGAAGTGGAAAAGCCTTTAAAACACATCAACTCAGCAAATACTGAACATAACCGTAATACGGGTAGCTTGCAAAAAACCACAGCAGACTTTGAAATCCTTAAATCTTCAAATGAAAGCTGCATCCACATTCGCATTCACCACCTGCTGGCCAAGTTTAGGTGCATTGGTTTAAAAAAAATTCTTCTTAGATATGTTAAAATACATAAATGAGAATAAAACACAAAATCTAGGATCATACGGCATGGTATGAAGCAAAGATAACAGGAAAAGATGTAGAATCCTGCTCGATATGGTTGGTAGAAATGCATGAAAATGCAGGACATTTAGTGATTCAGTAGTTAAATTGATTTTTAATCGATTTATTTTTCAGTTTTGTTGTTCTACTAGCTTCTGGAATGCCTGAATCTCCAGTTGGAAGCAAGGTGGGTTAAGGTGGGTTCCTGCTTTGTGTATCTTGCAGCTCGGTCTCCTTTTCCCATTGAACCTGTGCAGTCAGGCTCTTCTGTGGAAGCACATCATAAGGGATACCAACAACGTATCCTGTTTGCATCTGCCGATGGCAAAAGAGAGAAGTGGGGCGTCCAAGTGTTTCAGAGTCTGGAACACCAGTAAGAAGAATTGTGGGGAATTCTGACCTGGGTCGGTCACAGTCTTTAAAAGGTGTCTCTTCCCTGTTTTGCCTGCGGGGTGAAGGCAAGAGATGTTTTCTGTAAAGGACACCATCATCTTGGCCAAACTTCCGGTTTTCACTAGCACCTGCACTCCGTGAGCTCAGGGTGTCTTCGCTGGGGGTACCCGGCTTCTTCTGGCGGAGATACAGAAATACAGTATAAACAAACAGTAAGCACAAAGCAATGCCAATTTTTGAGCCATCTAATTTTGGCACTCCTGATTGAACATTTTTTGAGGATTACATTTTTTTGCTGCCACTAGCAATCAGATTTTTTCCCCCTGTTCAAACATCAGAAAATGAATATATATATATATATCCATTGTTCTTTTACAAACACAGGTCAATGTGTCACCCTGTGCAAGGGTCCCTGCGTGGTCCTGACATGTTGGCTATATGGCCTATGTGACATTATGTAAATAAAATCACTTTGATTTTTGATGCATATAGAGTGCTGGTGACCTTTCTTCCTTGTGAGTGATCGCATGGCGCCATCCATGGTTGTCCTGCAGTTTAAGTTAAGTTGTTTTTTTTATTTTGAGATGAAGATCTGGAAAAACATGCATACCATCCATTGGTTATTGAGAAACAAGCGAAGCTCCTGGATAAGCATCACAAGCAGGAAACTAGTATTTCCAAAAGGGAAGGACAGCAATGACCGCCTCCCGTTTAGTTCATTACAGTTTCCTGAATTTCTTTTAAAAGTAAATAAAAAACCATTTTTCCAAATTACCCCGATAGACAATTACCAAGTCATGTTTTTCAGACCTCCAGGCACTTACACAGATAGTATTACCATTGTACTTGACTTCCTGTCAGCAGATCATATGGTCGAAGGCCTATGCCTCTGATCATGTAGCACGACTGGAGGGAGCTTGGAGCATCATTTTCAACCCCCCTAGAAAAACTGTGGATGTAGCTTTCAGTTAACATTTGAGTATACATCTACTATGTAGCCCTTGGTTTATCAAGTGGAAGGCTGGGCTACAAGGAGAAACAATTAAGCATCACAAACAAAATATAGAAGGAAAATTCCGACTGGAGAAATCCCAGTACAATGAGAAAGAAAGACTGAACCTCATTCTGGTGGGACATTATTTGAATACATTAATTTATGCCATAAAAAACTTTGATTCTATGTTTTTATTTTAGATTCTGGCATTATAATACACTCCCCATGTTGTCAGAATGTATCCCTGTGGGTATGTGTTCTCTCCATATAAATATCAATTATTCTGAAATGATTTTTAGGAACATTGTTTACTGTAAGCAAGTTTAGATCCATTCTACAAAAGTTCATACTTCAGCAGTCTAACACAGAAGTAGTTTATTAGCCAACTAGTTAGTATCACACCTATCTCTTGGCCATAAATTCTATTCAGCTTTGATGGAATTTGTGCAGTTTGTTGAGATTTTCAGCATCGTGTTTTCACTTCTATGAAATTCTATGCATTCTCATTGCAGGAATCTTACCACCTTAACAACTGAATTCAATGAAGACTATTGATAAGTTTTGCAGAGGTAACGTAAGAAAATATCACACAAAAAAACCTAATGCACCGAGGACTGACTGGGCATGCTGGGAATATGTTGGAATGCATGATGGGCAAGCAATGGGTTGCCTACCTTTGGTATAGATTTTTTTCGTCCATACTCATTGATTCTGACTGGGCTGGCTGACATCACAATCCAACAATTGAATGCAGAGAGAAACATCAATGCAACATTGATAATCAGAAAGAGTGATAAGGAAGAGCTCTGGAAATCAGTAACTAAACATCAACATGTTTTTGGTTTGTTTTGTATCTGTAACTCTTTCAAAAGCTCTAACAGTATGCTATATAGCGTGTGGTAACAGGAGACGTTAAACTGTCCACTACATCTGTGCTATAGGACAGGACCAAGGGTCTGATTTCTATTAAGCAGAAAGGTAACCACCTGTTCTTACCAACTGCTTACTTTAAACAGACAGCCTATTAATTATTAATAGTAAAGGAGTGAGCACGTAATCCATACAGAGGTGCAAGCATAAGAAATAGCATTCTTTCAGTTGCTGCATCATGTAACTGCACAATATAGCTTGTATTGCCCCATTTCATTGTCCTGGCTAAGTGGAAGTGAATCACCCTTTACATTTGGGGCTTTACTTTCGCTAATAAGTACATACATTTTCACCACTGGAGCACAATTATACAGAAAAAGCATGCATACTGTGATCACACACGTTACCTTGTTCAGAAGCCCCTGCAATCTGGCTAACTTGCAATACTTGTATGATGCTTCTACTACCCATTTACAAACAAACTAGAGAAAACCAGTGAATACATTTCCTCCAAGCGATACTAAATTCAGTATGATGCTGTGGTAAGATCTGACCAATAAAATAGTACAATGGATGCCCACCACTGAAGATGAGAGCAAGTACTGTCCACCAGAAAAGGTACATCAATGCAAAGGGTTAGGTCTGCAATATAGACGGTTATTTTACAAATGTTTTTTAATTGCATAAAGTGGATTTACCTTTTACATTTCCTCTAGAACCCCATGAAGTCTGTAAATCCACTAGGGACATTTCCCTTTACTGTGTATCTCAGTGACACCAGGGCAAGAAATGAGAGGACCCAGGATTAAGGGGAGAGACACACAACAACAAAAAATCTGTCTAAGGTCCTAACTAGGGATGCTCCGATACCACTTTTTTAAGACGAGTACGAGTACCGATACTTTTTTTCTAGTGGAGTTCGCGGCCATCTTTTTTCATTGAAGATGCGATGGAGGTCCTGTGTGCGGCGGTTTCAGGTCCTTGAAGATGGCGGACGCGGCACAGGTACTCGTTTTTTGTATCGGAGTATTTGCACGAGTACGAGTACTCATGCAAATACTCGGTATCGCCGCCGATACCGATGCTTGTATCTGTATCGGAGCATCCCTAGTCCTAACCTTTTCATGCTGTAATAAAATGTGTGTTTTTGTCATTGTCTCTGTTCCCATTGGACAGTTTTGCAATCACTTTATGTCGCCGGGACAGGAAATGAGGGTCAATATTCCTTATTTGGACAAAGATTATAATATAAAGCAAACAGAGATTCTAACTCTTCCATACTCGATCCTAAATTAAAAGTGTGCTGCCCTCAGCGAATCTGCCGCTCCAGGCAAACGCCTTGTTTGCCTCGCGGCAGATATGCCCCTGATTACAGTAGCAATATATTTTTCTTACACTTAATCTATTTTACAGGTTTACCAACATACCATAACTTTGTAGTCTAAATCCTCAACTGAGCGAAAAAAGTCCAGACTTTTGGCAGCTGTGAGCCGGGCTCCACCGGTATCAGAACTGTGAGTGCTCAACGAGTCCAGAATTTCTCCCAGGAGATCCATCTCTCCCCCTGGACGTGAGGAAAGGCTCACATCATCATATGAAGCGTCACTGTCATACAAATATCCAGATGCTTCTTCACTGTCTTCCGATGACAATCTGAGGAAGGCACATACATTAAGTGATAAATGGAGGACAGAACTCTTGTACTGCTCAACAAGAATTACAATTAACTAATTAATGTGACATATCCGCAGAGTTGATTCTGTGATGAGAAAACCTGAGGAGATAAGCTGGGGGTACATCTGGGAACAAGAATTGAAGATGATAATAAATCAAAATGATTTTGTGTGTTAATGTTAAGACAGCAAAGTTAAAGAGAGAATGGGGAAAGGATCTGTTAGGAAAGGAAACTATCCATCTCATAGGGTGAGAGATGAGAACGGCTAGTGGTACTGCAAGTAAAATAAATGTCACATGTCATATCTAACTGCAAAGTAAACCGATGTAACCTCAGACACCTGGACAATAAAAAGTCAAGAACTGTCTTTTGTTCCAGAAGCTGGAACCAAATATTATTTACCTGCTCTTGGTCTGTGCTTAGTTATTTAAAAAAAATTAAACATCAAAGTTATTTTAATGTGAATTTTGTGTCAAACATATTCAGACCTAAAGAGATACTTTACTATTAAAACATATTCAGACTTTGCATTCAAAACACTAGCACTGATTTTAACAGGCAACATTGAGATTACACACATTAATTAAGCAATTTGAGGCTTGAAACTTTAGATTGCGGAAATTTCAGAATGAGAAATCCTCAGTCAAATATAAGAAAAATGTTTGTTTTATAGAATGGGCTAATGTGAAACAGAAAGGGATGATAAAGTCCACCTTTGGAGATGTTGTTTGGTGTTTAACTTCAGCATTATGAGCCGACAAACTTGATGCACCCTTCTTCTTGCAGGACATGGTGATGTGTTTAATACACAAGCCCCTAGCTTTATAATTAGAGACGGTCCCTAGCTAGCACCACCTACGGTCTTTGTTACTGCAAGTATATGCTCTGCGACTCCAGTGCCTACAGTAGTTGTAGCTTCCACAGAACAGAGGAACAACATTAGCACTGCTGAAACTCTCCTACCATGACCTCCATTCTCTGAGAGTGGGATGGTGTGTGAAAGACAAAAATTAGTTATAACGACAGCTTATTTTACAAAAGAGCTTGAAAATCCATATGGCAAAAGACTAAATGCCAATGTGATTTAAAAAAAACAAACTCTGGGCATATGAAACCTAAAACCCTTGCAGTGAGGTACCCCCTCACATCAAGGGTTAAGTACTTGTTCTGTCTAAGGAGCTAGAATAACAAAGATATACTCACCTGAATCTCACACCTGGCAGACTGCTAGACCGTTCCCTGCAGCCTTACTCCCCTTTCACTCCAATGGTCTAAGGTCCTGTGAGTCATCACATCCAATACATTGTAATGGATGTGAGGATGCAGAGGGACAGTCCATCGCCGGAGTGGAATGGGAGAAAGGCAGCAGGAACCGGTCTACAAGCCAGCCAGGTCCGATATTTGGGTGAGTATATTTTTGCTATTTTAGCTCCCTAGACTAAATGCTCCCTAGACTCCCTAGACTAAATGAGCACTTCACAAGATTTCACATGCCCTGATTTCTTCTTTAAAAAAAAGCCCTTTAGATATCCTCTAAACCTAAAATGTATATATGGAAACAGTTTTTCCAGTTACATTTTTCCATGAAGTTCTAGCAGTGAAGATGGGCTCCATCTGTTTGTGTGCTAATCGGAAACAAAACAACATTGCGGAGTCAGAAATACTCTACACTATTTGCAATACATAAAAAACATCCTTCTCACAATAGTTTGTGTTCCTAAGCTCAACAGGGAAACTTCCATATGAATTCAGCATAAGACCTGTGTCATTGAGTTACTCACTTGCTGGCACTGTCGGCTACATCTGAATCTTCCAGTCCAGAGTTGTGGCCTGTCATGTTCATCAGGTGCCGATTCCTTCGTGTCTGCAGGAAAAAAAAAAAAGCTAGGTGGATAAATATATATACACACACACACACACACACACACACACACACACACACATACACATAGTCCTGTGAAAAACTATAACAATTAAGTACACCACACGGAAAATTCTTGACTTTTTCGGCATATTTAAAAAGCTCAACCATAAGTTCTTTAGTTCTTTATTCAAACGGTACCTACAGATAACGGTAATATACTTAATTAAAAACATCTTTGACCACGTCTCTATTCAAAATTCCTTCAGTTGCAAGTCGTTTGTGGGTTTCCTTGAACAAACTGCCCATTTCAAAATCACACATTTTTATTTGGAAACCAAATCATGGCTTTGACTGAGGAAAACCACAACCCTCTATTTCTTATTTTTAAACAACTCTTTGGTGGATTTACTAGTGTGCTTTGGATCATTATTGGGTTAAAAGACCCAATTCTGGTTCACCTGGAACAGATGGCCTCACTATCTCATCAAGTACACTTTGATAGGATGCAGAATGTATAGTTGGCTTGATGATGACAAGCTAGCCAGGCCCTGAAGCTGCAAAGCAATTCCAAACCATAACATTTCCACCACCAAGCTTCACAGTTGTTAAGAGGTTCTTCACATGAAATGCTCTATTCAATTTGTGGCAAACATCTACTGTTCCTGTGACCATGCAACAGCAACAACTATATTTGTGTCTATAGCACATTGATCCACAACGCCTGGTCTTTGTCCGTATGTCCAATGGCAAATTGTTGTCTTGCTCTTAAGTTTTGGGGTTTTGTTTTGGACAGTGAAGGCTTTTTCCTAACACACCTCTCCTGCAGGTTAAATTGGTGCAATCTCCTTCTGATTACAGATGCATACACTTTAACGACAACTGTTGCAAGAACCACCCTTCAACTACATTTTGGAATTCTATTTTAGCATTAGATAATGAGCTCTAGGGCAAATTTGCAGGGTCGGGCAGACCCGGACAAATTAGTATTTTGAAATCTGGTGAAATGATTGATTTCATATAATTTGACAAAATGTTTTAAATCCCGTGCCAGACTCACTGGCATCCACACCTTTTTTTCTAAGGCCTTAGGGCTAGTTCACACCAGCCACAGTGCATTGCAGCCCGATTCTGGACGGAACGCACTGGATCGCATTGCAGCCAGCTCACTTTGTTGTGGGGCAGAAGGGGGCTTGGCGGTGCATTGAACTCAATGGCACTGCAGCCATGCCCTCCGGCCGCAATGCAACTGGCCGCACAAGAACGCGTGGCACATAAATGCCTGCGGTGCGGTCAGAAAAAAAATGCTGCAAGTACTTTTTTCTCTGACTGGACCAGAATGCAGGCATTGATGTGCTACGCGTTCACGTGCGGCCGATCGCATTGCGGCTGGATGGCGTGGCTGCAGTGCCATTCACTTCAATGCACCACCCCACAACAAAGTGAGCCGGTCGCAATGCAAAACAGTGCGTACTGGCCCCAATCTGGCCGGAACACACTGTGGCTGGTGTGAACGAGCCTTTAGATAGCTCTGTTGATCTTGGCATGATGACACCACACATGTCAATAGGCAAGGGACCCTAGATAATTGAGGTTTAAATAAGACACGTTACACCTGCATAATCTCTAATTAGTTTCTAATTATTGGAACCTAATGTGGAACACCCAATTCAAATTTTGTGGCTTCGAAGTGAAGATAAATGCAGGGGCATGCTTACATTTCTAAAATGACAAATATGCATTTTCATTAAGAACACACTGTGCATGGATGTCTACAAGAATTGAAAAATAGCAGCCAACAAAAGAAAAATGGAAGCACTGAAAGGCCACATAAACTATGCAAAGGAAATAAAATGAAAACAAAAAGAAAAAAGGCTTGCGACCAATTAATCATACACATATTTTTGGCTTTTTCCACCAGAGGGCAGTAGAGCCATCTTGGTTTTCAATGAAGTGATATTTTCATGGTCATTCTAAAACGGATGCACTGCTCAGAAGCTGGATCTTTAACATGGCATAATTATAATATGCTATCAGATACTTTAAATCCGGGATTAATTGTCTGAGCATAGCGATAACATCAACAAAACCAATCATTATGTGAGCAGCAACATATTTCACTTTAATCACAACAGCTGGATTAAAAACTGTAGCATTAGGGATTATTAAATCATAGCGAGAGACGGGTCATGACTTAACTCTCTCAAAATCGGCAACTACGTTTTTGACAAACACTGATCTCTAAAAATGCCAAATATATAATTATGACAGTAAATATATATTTTTACACAAAGCAGTGCCCTTCAAGAAACTGTTGCACTCTGTGACTATGAAAGGTACAACATTGTATTGCTATCTGAGACCAAGAGAGATTAGTCCATCTAAAATTCAGATTTCACACTGATTTGCAGTCAATCAGATCAGTTGGCCAGGCATTTCTGAAACCATGTTTAGATAAGGACATGATGCAGCTTTTTCGTAGTTTCCGCTTTCAAGATGAAATTGTTCTATATATAGTACATAGTTATTCGTGTTTTATATACTTCCCTAACCTGTGGCCAATTAGATCTCATTGTTGGCATGAATAAATCATTTGATTTTTTGATGATACTTTTATGACATCTAGGTTTTACATATCTTTTTCCATGGTTTAAAGAGCAATTTGGTAATTTTTCATATGTAATGTTTTCCCTGTTTTATGTCTGTAATCATTAAAATACAGAAAAAGAAGTTTGTTGCAAATAAACAACCAAAGACAATAATGGCAAAATAATAGTAATAATAAAAAAAAGCATTTGTATTTTACTTCATTTTCTTACTACCATCTTCCTTTCGTTTAAGCCAGAGTAACATGTTACAGGTATGAAGGGGTTACTTTCTATGTTGCACATCTCCCTGTGGCTGTTGCACAGCGGCAGAATTGATACTAGGATTTTTTTCTCTCTAGATCTAATTGGAGAATGTTTTTGAGCGGAATGTTGACATTTTCACAAGCCCTGCCAGGCTAACGAGGAAGTCACCATTGCTAATTAGAGAAGCACAGAGGAGAGGAGAGAAGATTATGGGGAACTGTGTCATCCTGATAGAAAACAACTTGAAACGAGCACTGTTAACTAGTGGTGGGGCTGTATATGATGGGGCTGTTTGTGATACAAATTGTTGCTCACTCCGTCTTCTAAAAAGAAACTTACAGAATCCAGCTTTTCGGTCTGATTTACAGGATCGACTAATGCATATTTCATGATTACAGATTGAAAAAGCAAAATTCATTACTAAGGTCAATTAAGGTATTTCGTTATTGGTTAAAATAAAATAAAAATTCCAAGTAAATGGAAAACCAGTTGCTATTCTGCTGCTGATTGGCAGGGGTACCCTGCTTGAAGCCGTTGCTGATCAGTTGTGTTACCAACATGGCCGATAAGTTCTTAGGCTACCATCTGAGCAGAATAGCTCAGCTTTTCTCAGGCAACATATTCCACCTTGGGAAAAATTATTTTCCAAGAAGGCTATGCTGTGCCATGGCAGCTAACCTTAGAAAGGCAATAGGTTTCTGAGGGTGACCAAATAATGCCAAGCAGCTCGGAGCAATGGCAGCATTGGAGCTACTATGCAGCTTTTTCAAACGCAGCTGATTGGTGAGGGTTTCAAGCAGAACAGTCTTGTTGATCTGTGAAGGTGGTGGTAGTGGTGGTGTAATATTGGTGGTGGTTTAATAGTGTCAGTTATGATATGCCTTTAAAGCAGGGGTATCACACTCAATTTAGTCGTGGGCCACATCAACATTATGGTTAGCCTCAAAGGGCCTGTAAGACTATATAAATGTATCTAATCTTTATCGTTATTGCCTTTGCATTCGATTATCACCGGTTTTAGTAATAACTTAATACCTAGATCTGAAAGTAGAAGTCTAGGAAATGGCCTGGTGGGCCGGATTCGGCCCCAGGCCTTGAGTTTGACACATGTGCTTTAGAGCAAATAATTGCTTTATTTGTAAATGTTAAGGAAAGCAGAATTGATCAAATCTACATATGCATCTTTAATTCACTTTAGTAGCATGCACTAGAAACAGTCGTTCATTTTGTGGACTGTGACTACTTACTGAAAATTTGTGCATCAGTAATTCCGAGGGGAATTTATCAAAACTGGAGCAGACAGAATCTGGAGCATGGCAACCAATCAGCTTCTCTCTTCAGTTTGTTCAGTTAAGATTTGAAAATGAAAGAGAGAAGCTGATTGGTTGCCGTCCACAGCTGCTCCAGATTTTGTCGGTTCCAGGTTTAATAAATTCCACTCTTCGTATTTAGCTTGAAGCTGTACAAATAAGACAATGAAATTAAAGGCCGATTGGACATTTATTGTAATGCAAATCTATAGCTTCACACTACTGCAAAGCCTTAAAATAATGGAATCAAAATTCTAAGATATGTAAGTAATCTTATTTTATCTGGAAAGAGACTTCTTACTGCATACTCTATCTTCTAATGTTCCAATAACTGGAAAAGTGATGACCATAAATACCCAAAAGGCTCAGTTGTTGGCAATAAACATTTGTGGAAAAAAAGGTGAAAGAGTTGAAATAAGCATTTCAAAAAAAGGTGAAAAGCCTTTTAGAAACACAAAGCAATCTACACGTAGGTTAACCATAATGTAATTGTCACTATACAGCATAAATTGTATCTACAATGGAGCATGATGCAAAGAAAAATGTTGCCCTACAGATAGACTTTCATAAAACCATTAGATGATCCATCTGTGACAAGGTGGCAGCCATGCTAAAGAAGAACTCTGCTCTAGACAAATACTCTTCTACTGTTTCTAATGGCAGAGCTGGTAAGATCCCTAAAATCTTATTAGTATGTCCCTTACTTCCCCTTTGGTCTATAAAGCCCATCTCTGGGCAAACAAAAAAGTACTCTTGCAGTGGGGCTAAGTGTTCAATTTTGCCTAAGAGACTGGGGTAAAGCAGATTTACTTACATTGTCCTTGATCCCGCTGGCTCCCTCTAGGCTACTAGACCAGTTTCCACAGCCTCTTCTCCTCGAGATCTGGCGCTTTAGGGACTGCTGATGTCATCACGTCAGGTTCTACATACCTGCATTAGACGTGACGCGCCGAGTGGCATTGCATCAGTGGAGAGAGGTGCGCTCTGACAGCCAAAGATCGGTAAGGTAAGTAAGTCTCCTTTACAACAGTCTCGTAAACAATAAAACTCTGCCAGTGCACTCTTTTGTTTGTCCGAGATGGGCTTTAAAGACCGGATGGAACAATGCATATATTGCAAGAAACAAATCTTCTGTAACAAACATTCAGAATAGGTGTTGCTGTGTCTGCCCTGCTTTAAAGTAATTAAGGGTTACTACAAGCCAGGCAATGTCTTGCCTGCATCAGCATTGTATGATCATGACTGACACATGTAACTGCTAATGAAAAGGCTGCTGTGTGATGCACCCAGCTTACATGTAGATTTTGGCTACCAGAGGCTTTCTTTAAAATAATCAGTTTTGTGTAATAAAACTATAAAGGAAGCAGATATGCAGTAACAATCCAAATTCACATTTATCCGTTTAGAGAAGGCAGAACAAAGTAATGTGATTACAAATGACCAAGTATGGTTTATATTCTTTAAACTAGTGGTGTTCAATATATTTTGCAATGCAGCTCCAGCTATAAATGTTGCATCATTCTGAGGTCCTTTCAGCTTATTATTGTTTTGGGCTTCACAAATAAAGAGTTCACTCAAAAAAAAACAATGGAATGAATAATGTGTCTTATAAATCGAACAACCCAAAACATGGATTAATCGACTATGACACTACCATGGGCCGAGCCCACAAATGACACATCCGTGCTTTACACACTGCTCTTCACAGGTTATGGCTGCATTCCTCACCTGTGAGAGTTTCCTTCTCTCAGAGATAGGACGCTGTGAGCTGCTTAATGGGAAGGTATTAGAGTTCATGGGCTCCACATTTTCCTCTTCAAATTCCTGTAACAAAACCATGAAACAAGCATGCACCATGCAGGTCACATGCAGTTAGAAACATGTTTAACAGACAAAAGCAACAAATAAAAATCACATAAAATTGCAGTGTGGTAAACGGTCTCCACTTCAGCTTTCACAAATAAAAGTGCTCAGAGTGTTAATAGTGTATTTTTACCCATGAACAAAATTCATTTTTTTTCATGAAGCAGAAATGCAGTCCCAGATTTGCAAGGAACCTCCACCATGCTTCAACAGTTCCTTGCAAGTCTGTGGCTGCATTTCTGCCAATAAGGTTGGGGATTTGGTCAGGATCAATGGTGTCCTCAATGCTGAGAAATACAAGCAGATACTTATCCTTCAAAATCATACCATCAGGGGGGCGTGGCTCTAAATTTATTCTGCAGCAGGACAACGACCCCAAACCTACAGCCAATGATATTAAGAACGATCATCAGGGTAAAAAAGAACAATGAGTCCAGGAAGTGATGGTTTGGCCCCCACAGAGCCCTGATCTCAACATCATCAAGTCTGTCTGGGAATACATGAAGGGAAAGAAGGATTTGAGGCAGCCTATATCCAAAGAAGATCTATGGTGAGTTCTCCAAGAACAGCCTACCTGCCAAGTTCCTTCAAATCTATGTACAAATGTACCTAGAAGAATTGATGCTGTTGTGAAGGCAAAGGGGGGTCACACCAAATATCAATTTGATTTGGATTTCTCTTCTGTTCATTTACTTTCCATTTTGTTCATTGATAAAAATCAACTATTAACACTTATTTCTGAAAGCATTCGTACTTTAATTGGACACTGACACAAGTTTTGTTATTTTGGCTGTTCACCCAAATAAATTCAATTTACAGTTAGAGAATCTGGGCCTAAAGTGCACTCTATCAGCTTTAGGTTGAGGGTATACACATCTATATCAGAGGAAGGGTTTAGGAATTACAGCTCTTTAATATGTAGCCTGCTCTTTTTCAAGGGACCAAAAGTGAATGGACAATTGACTTGAAAGCTGTTTCATGGACAGGTGTTATTTCATCATCAATTAAGTAGGTAAAAGTTCTGGAGTTGATTCCAGATGTGGCATTAGCATTTGGAAGCTGTTGCTGTGAACCCTCAACATCCGAACAGAAGAGCACTCAATGCAAGTAAAAACGACCATCCTTAGGATGCTAAAAAAAATCCATGAGAGAGATAGCAGGAACATTAGGAGAGGCCAAATCAACCATTTGGTAGATTCCAAGAAAAAAAAAAAAAGAAGGTGGCATTGGTGAGCTCCTCAACACAAAAAGGCCAGGACATCCTTGGTAAACAACAGTGATGGATGATCATAGGATCCTTTCCATGGTACAGAAAAACCAATGCACAACATCCAGCCAAGTAAAGAAAACCCTCCAAGAGGTAGGCATATCATTATCCAAGTCTAGCATAAAGAGAAGACTTCAGGAAAGCAAATACAGAGGGTTCACAACAAGGTGCAAAACCATCCATTAGCCTTAAGAATAGAAAGGCCAGATTAGACTTTGCCAAAAAATATCTAAAAAAGCCAGCCCAGTGGTGGAACAGCATTCTTTGGACAGATAAAACCAAGATCAACCTGTACCAGAATGATGCAAAGAAAAAAAAAAATGGAGAAAGCTTGGAACGGCTCATGAATCTAAGCATACCACATCATCTGTAAAACACAGTCTAGGCAGTATGATTGCATGGGAAAGCATGGCTTCCAACGACACTGGGTCACTAGTGTTAAGTGATAGTGTGACAGATTCAGTCTGATGAATTCTGAAGTGTATAGGAATATATAGCCAGCTCAGATTCAGGAAAATTCAGTGACGTTGATTAGACGGTGCTTCACTTTACAGATGGACAATGATCCAAAACATACGGCGAAAGCAACTCAGTGTTGTTGTTTTTTAAGGCAAACAAGTGGAATATTCTGCAATGGCCGAGTCACTAACCTGATCTCAACCTGATCGAGCATGCATTTCACTTGCTGAAGACAAAATGTAAGACAGAAAGACCCATGAACATACAACAACTGAAGACAGCTTCAGTAAAGGCCTGGCAAAGAATCACAAAGGAAGAAACACCACATTTGCTGATGTCCATGCATTCCGGACTTCAAGCAGTGATTGCCTGCAAAGGATTCTCGACAAAGTATTAAAAAATGAACATTTTATTTATGATTATGTTCGTTTGTCCAATTACATTTGAGCCCTGGAATAAGAGGACTGTGTATGAAAATTGTTGCAATTCCTAAAATGTTCATATGATAATTGCTGTGAGACTGATGAATACTGCTTGCCAATTCACAATAGCTAACTTAGAATACTAAAATAGAAACACATTTCCAAATAAATGCCAGTTGTATTGCACAATATTGTTTTATTAATTATCAACCACATTACAAAAATGCAATCTAGAGAGTCCTGTGTGTTGTACAGCTGAACATCCCTACATGAGTGCTTATAATATCAAAAGACTGCCAAACTATATTAAGATTGGGAGTTCCACAGCACATGGTAAGCCATTCTTCTCCAAAGTCCTATTTCTAGAAGAACTTGGTGAATAAACAGATTGCTCTAGCTTACAGGATATGATGGGGAGGGAGGTATAGTTTTAGAGAAGACATAGGTACATGGTAAATATCAACTATAAGTAGCATCCATTTATATACAACTTGCCTATTTACTCTTTTATCACTGGAATGTAGCTATACATTTTAGTTTTTACAGAAACTAACTGCAAAAGAGTCTGCTGAGCAAAGGTTACCAAGAGCACATGACAGCTCAGTAAACATAGGCAGAGGAACCAAGATGTCCTGTGTCACAAATACATTTATTACTGCTACATATAGTTACATAGGTTGGGAAAAAAAGACAGACACAAGTCATCAAGTTCAACCTACAGAGAAAAAAAAGACAGAAAACTACCATAAACAGAACCCTATGCCCACAGTTGAACCAGAGGAAGGCAACCCCCCCTTATAATGCATAGTTCGGTCTGTTCTAACAGGCGGATAAAATCCTTCCTGACCCCATAAGGCAAACAGATATTCCTTGGATCAACTAAAACTGGCATTTTTTTAAACGTAGAAAATGTTAATATATAGTTATATTTTGCGCATTTAGGAATGCATCCACATTTTTTAAACAGCAAACTAAGCTAGTAAGAACTAGTTTCTGAGGTAGCCTATTTCACATTTTCACAGCTCTAACTGTGAAAAAGCTGTTCCGTATGCAAAGGTTAAATCTCTTTTTCTCCAGACGCAAAAGAGGGCCCTCTTGTCCTATGCAGTGACCTTAAAGTGAACAATTTTGCAACAAAGTTCACTATGTGGACCATTTATGTATTTATACATAGTGATCATGTCCCCCCTTAATCGCCTCTTCTCCAGAGGGAACAAATTCAGTTCAGCTGATCCCCCCTCATAGCTGAGCTCCTCCATGCCTCCTATGAGTTCAGCTGCCGTTCTCTGCATTCTCTCCAGTTGCACAACATCCTTTTGGGAACTGGAGACCCAAACTGAACTGCATATTCCAAATGAGGTCCTAATAATACTTTTTAAAGGGGCATGTTCATGCATCTTTCTCTGGAGTCTATACCCCATATAAAACAAGAAAGTATTTTGCTTCCTTTAGAAACTGCATGCTATTATTTAATCTATGGTCTACAGGCTATGGAAGACCCAATCATTCAGCGGCTCCTTCGGGGGTGAGCGCTACACATGTTTTTAGTCCATAACTTTACATTTATCAACATTAAACTTTATTTGACACATGGATGCCCAATCATACAGCACATTCAGATCTGCTTGTCAATTGGAGACATCCTGTAAGGACTGTATTCCACTACATAGGTGTCATCTGCAAACACAGAAATAGTACTTTTAGTCCCCAATTCTATGTCATTTATAAATAGGTTAAACAATAGGAGACCCAACACTGAACCTTGGGGGACACCACTAACAACCGCAGACCATTCAGAGTGTGAATCATTAATCATCACTCTCTGCATTCCATCTTTAAGCCAGTTTTCTATCTAATTAAAGACTGAATATTCTAAACCTATAGACCTTAGTTTATACATTAGCCATCTGTGGGGAACTGTGTCAAATGCTTTTGCAAAGTCCAAGTATACTATATTCACAGCCATTCCTTTTTCTAATTTATTGCTTATTTCCTGGCTTGTAGTAACGCAGATTTGTTTGACAACTGTGAATCCATGCTATCACTTATAATATTATTTATTAACTCTATTTCCTTTTCACATATCTTGTTATATATACAGGTATTCCTCACTTAACGACCGAGTTCTGTTCCTACGACCAGGTCGTTAAACGAATTGGTCGTTAAGTGAGGAACTCTATACAGTACTGTACTGCATTAGTACAGTACTGTATAGCGTTGCCGATGTACAGTACTGAACAGTGTACTGTACATCGGGCAATGAAAATACTCACGGGGACGCGCTGTGAAGAACGGAGGACGTCACTTCCCCCGGCGACACGTCGCACTGGCGCTGACGCGCGAGGTCGGAGGTCGCTCGGAGGACGGTCGTAAGTGCGAGTGGTCGCAAAACAGGTAAGTCGTTAAGCGAGGAGTATCTGTACATTTTTTAAAGGAACTACTATCAAATGAAAGAGCACCCAATACCATCACGACTATATTATCCATTTGAAAAGCTGAAATGCCTGTATAGATATATGTGGGATTTAGCTGTGCACCCTTTTGCTACATCTAACCTACTATTGGAGGCAAAAGGAGAAATTTACCAAACAGGTGGTAGTTTTGTGGGATTACTGCACAGGGACCAGAGTACGGCACAAATTGCACTGGTGGTCTCTACTTCAGTTGGCAGTAGGATTTTAAAAGCAGCTTTATTTACCCACCCCCTTCTGTCAGAGAATTGCATTGAATATTGCTCTCTGCTTTGTCATCTGGTATCTGGATATCTTTTAATCTCTTGAATCTCTCAACTTTATGCTGTTCCTGCCCGAACAGCAGGAGGAGAAAGTAGGTTGCAACATCTCCAGGTGGAGCTAGTAACATAACAGGCATAACAAAGAATTATGGGTTTGTCTTACAGAGGTTACCCTACTCAGCTAATTATTATTATTATACAGGATTTGGGGTAAAGGTTGGGGTAAAGAGTTCCAGAGAATGGGAGAGACTCTAGTGAAGTCCTGGAGCTAAGTTCAGAAACTGTCAAAGCAAGGCAATGAAGATCTGAGGGCATTAGGGGAAACCACAAGGAAGGTACAAGGTTCAAGTTCAAGGGTAAAGGTTCAGATGTAGAACATACAGCCAGTGAGGGAAGAATACAAGAGAACAAATGTAATCTTGACCTGAGACATTGAGCAAGATCCATACTACTGAGCACTGCATGCAGTATTTAACTAGAAAATACAAACTACCTATATGCATTATGTATACCTTCCCAAGACAGCCTCAGTTTTTAAAGGAAACCTTTCCTCAAAGAAACATAGAAGCTGACTTTCCATTCTGCAAATGCTAGTTGCCTGGCTGTTATACTGATACTCTAACTCCTGACTCAGACTTCTACCATATCCAAAAGAAAGGAATCTGCAGAATCAAACTTGAAAACAATGTACCTAAGGCATCTCCACTCCCCACCAATGCTTTAGAGTACAGTATTTGGCATTTCCATTCCCCACCAATGCTTCTGAGTACAGTATTTGGCATCTCCACTCCCACCAATGCTTTTGAGTACAGTATTTGGAGGTATAAAATATGCTACTTATCATCGTAGCTAAACATTTAGCAGAGCACAGCAAATACGAGTGGGTCTTCTTCTGAAGACAATGTTCAAATACCAGATTCATGCAATTTAAAGAATCCTGCTGCTTTTGTGCATCAAAAACACCTATTGCACATGTTAAAACAACACCACCACTACCTATAAATATTCCTTTTACTGCATATTTAATGTGGGTGATATATACACTTAATGCTAATCTATAAAAAAAATCATATATCATGACCTTTAGATGAAAGAAAAAGACATTTTACCTTATTTTTCAACTTGCTCTTTACCTCCTTGATGCCTTGTTTGGCCTGGTAGTGAAGTAAAAGCAGTAAATAATAATTAATTCAAAAATAATTTTAATTGCAAACACAGAATGTTACAACACTGATTATATTAGTGGATTGTACCCAAACTAAGTGTTAGATCTGCTCAATAGCTTGGAGTGATGAAACCTGAAAAATGCAATTTTTCAAGACCCCCTCCACCTATACATTGCTTACAACTTGAGCTCCTCTGAACCAGGGATATGGGGCCACCCGCCCTATCAGCCCTCAAACTGGGACATTCCCTGCCCTGCACATAAACAAAGAGGTAGGATTCTTGTACTGACATCATTGACCTTATATGACCACATGGCCATATTAGATCAATATCAAATCAACAAAATATAGCCATTTGGCCATATAAGGTCAATGACGTTACAGCATCCCGCCTTTTTGTTTACATGCAGCTGCACAAAGGGAATTCCCAGCCTGCCGCTGATTGGGCAGCAGCGAAATGAGCTTCCTTCTGGCATTGAAGGAGCTCATCCCTATTTATAACAGACCTTGTAATAATTTTTGAAGTCTGCATGAATACATTCCGAATATGCCAAATTGTGCAGCCACAGTATGTTTACGTTAACTTTTTTGAATGCAAACAATTGTACATACAGTATATCTTATAAGGTATCGTTCAATGCGAACAATATGAAAAAGTACAAAAGTAAACACCAAACATATTCCTGTAAATAGTAGTCTTTCTTCCAAAATCAGTTTAACTAATGCATGTACGCTGTATGTGTACACACAGCCACGAACATAAAAGCTGCTGTGCAGGTACCAGGATTTATATTCTTGTGTCATCAATAATCTAAAATCCTAACATAGGAATATGATTCAGATTGTGGATAATGCCAGGACAAAGATCAAGTCTATCTTCAGGGAAGATAGGAACAAAAAGGCATGGTCAACGGATGTATTGTATTCTTTTCTAGAGGCAAGAACTACATGTAACTAGATATATGCATTTAACCTAAAAAATACATATATGTTTCAGGGGCGGATCCAGAGTCTATTCCTGGGAGGGGCACTGCCAGAAAATTAAGTTAGCCCAGCCTCCAGTCTCCCACGCTGTCAGAAGCTGCATACAGCGTGTGCTGGTTACTACTTAAACATACATTTTTAAGGTACATTTGTCATTTTGAGCATTAATTCCAAACTAATAATGTGCTCCGTTTATCTTCCTGGGTGTTTAGTCCAATTTAGGATTTTCTCAAGCTGTGTAGTTACACACGTTAAGCTCAGTTTAAGTTTTCCATTTGCAGCTCATAGATTGTTTTGTGGATACTTTTTATGTTCTGCTAATGGGATCTTATACTTTCTTCCATTCTGAAATAGTACAGTATCTTGCTATAGGCTCTTTAAAGTCTAAAAGTCCTTTGAATGAAAATGCCACGTCTTGTGGCCTGGTGAGCTGATTAATTGGCTATTTGGCAAGTGACCTTATATTTGCTGTTTGTGTTGAGATCTTCTGATCTATTCTTTTTTTTTTTTACTCAAAAGGCATTGGTTCAACCTCCATGAAACCTGGCCTAGTTTAAAGAGGAACTATTACCCATACCTTCAAAATAACAAAGGCACCTTTAGAAATGTTTAGTGACGGCAATCTACATAGATACTTCTAGATAATAGCAGTCTTTTTATTCTTTGCATCCCGTATTTGTTTTTCCTCCACATTCTTCTTACAGTGGCCATTTTAACTAAGGGCAGATTAATCCATTTCCCTTTACTTCCAGGAACTCTAGCACATGTGATAAGGACATGTGACCATGCACATCACCTCAGGGGAGGAAAATGTCTTCCCTGAGATCTCATGAGATTACAGATGAGATTTCCCACCAATGCTCTGCTGATGTAACCTTCCCAGGATGAAATGCTTGGACACGATCATTTGTGCAAAAGTGGACAAGGAAGTAGAAAAAAAGGAAATAAAATAAAAACATATTTATTTAGCTAATGAATGCAAGAAGATTTCATATAAGCAAGCAGAGCTGCATGCTTATGTGATTTTTAGTCAAAGGGGGAAAAGGTCCACTTTGAGTGCAAGAGTAGAATCTTTACTGTGGCTGGGAATGATCTGACCACACTGGTGTCAGTATTCAAGCAGTTACCAAGTGAGGCAGAAATAATGAGGGAGTAAAGCATATGTGGACATAAATACTAAGTACAATGCTATGTAAAGGGATTGTGTTTTCTCCATAAATCCACCTGATCATACTGATGTAAGAATTCTACTAGTTTTTCACATGATTTAAGAGGATGTTTTTATGATTGCTTTGGTCTGTCAAGATTTATCTATAACTTGACCCAGTGAAAGATTTCAATCCTCCTCCCTAATTAAATGTCCTTCTATGTGTGCCATTAATTTCTTAAGTATATGTTCTAAGGCAATCTGGCCTACATTGGAGCATAATGGGAATATAAAAGTTAACTTAGTTTCATTTAAGAACCTGGGAACCAAAAAGACAACAAAACACACTTTTCATGGAAAGGGAGATTTCTGAAAAACAAACAACCCCTTTTGTGCTACCTGAAGGATTACCAGGTCTGCCCTGAACATGATCAGCTTTACTGCTTTCTAAGGCCCAATGGCGTTCCGATCAAATCCACTTGTCAGTTTTTCAGGAGGATCTGATCGAAAGTGCAATCTTAAGGTATGTGCGGGTGTAAACGGACCTGCATCTGTTTACATACAATGACCCCAGAGTCTGTCTAGGTCTGAAAACCCCCCAGAAAAGGGTCCCATTTTTGCAGAACTGAACCTGGCTCTGGCGCTCCACCACTGTCCTGAAATCATTAGTCTGTGATGTTTTAGAAAAACTGTCACATGACAATAAACAAAAATGTATCAGTACTCGTACTTGTAAGTTCTTGGGCAAGTACCAGTACTTGTACTCACAAAACTGGTATCGGTGCATCCCTTTATTTATAAAAACAAAATCATACATTAAATCAGAGATGTACAAATCCCAGGAGCTCCATGAGCTCCTTACAAATGACAGCTGCCTCCTAACATTTGAATTTTTCTCTAGTCTAGTCTTGGAGCTCGAAAAGTATCGGTACATGTACTTGTACCGAGTACTGTACTTTGTATCGGTGCATCCCTACTCAGAACGAAACGTGTTTGAAGTCCTAGCTTGGATGTTTATAAGTTTACAGAGCTGAATTACATCAAGTTGGGCTTAGAGGTCATTGTGCTCCTACAATCTCGTCATGTATGACTATATAGGCCTTGCTACATGGCTGTAGGTATGCCTAGACTCTACAATACAACCAAAACCATCTACTACAACTACTGGATCTAGCAGTTCAGCCAAAAGTGCAGCACTATTTATGCATCTTCTTATTTAATGTTGACCTGGATTTAGAAAGATGACTGCACAACCAAAAAACAATATCATATTTTGAAACAATTCATGGTTGCTGTAAGATACTTACATACATATAGGCATTCTTCATAACTGGGCTGGCTTTGGTCACTGCTGTATTAATCAGTGCTCCTCCTTTCTGTAAATAAATTACTAATAGTAACCGTGTACACATAAAGGTTCTTCACGTATTACAGTTTTCAAATGTCACAGCACATATTTTATTGAGAATTTTCATATGTATAAAGAAGGTATGAAGTTCAAGGCTCCTGTCAAAGCAGTCTTGTGCCTTGAAGGTTGTGTTTATTATTGTAGAATTATTTGCAAAGAAGTTGCAAAACCTTTATGGAACACATGATTTTAATTTTACACGTATCTGTTACTTATTTACTCAGTCCAGTTTTATCTTTTACAATAAGCATTCATTTTGTTTTTTTGAATTTGTATGTGCCAATAATAATTTTCTATGTTGTTTGAGGGACCTTTTGTAAACCTTCATGTGAAAAGAGTAAAGTTGGTTCACCTATCTGATCTAGGTGTAAGGTTCAGGTTAAGCAATAAAGACTAAGATTAAGTGTGAATTTAGGGGTTAGGTTACAGTTTAGGGCTCCAATGAGGGGAGGTTAAAATTTGGGGGTAAATGGGTCAGCAAAGTGGCATGGGACATTTTAAACATTTGTTTTCAAGGCCGAAACCCAGCAACGGATTCTCTAGTCAAAGACTTTGGGATAGACTAGGGAATGCATAGAACCTCTGTCAGGATTTATGGCCGTCTTAGTACTTCTCTTACTGTCTGTGCCTCTAACATTGGTCATTAGGAGTGGAATTTTCTGGTATGGGGATACATACAGCAATACAAAAACTAAATAATAGAGTGGGAAGAATTAGAACCTCGTGTGTTTTTATTGAGGTCTGCATTTTTTTAAGGAGACTTCTTTTGCTTCCTGTTCTAGTGGTAAAGGCCACAGTGAAAAGAAGTGTTGGAAAATGTCTCTAGTAGGAACACAAGGCATTAAAACCCTGCAGTGGTTCTAATTTACTTCATTTAAAACAAATGTTGGCTTGCGTTACCCTTTAACCCTTTTGCTGCTAGGCCCTGTGCTCCACTTTTGACTTCAGGTGGCCAGACCATTTTTGCAATTTTACCTGATTTCATAATGTTTCACTCACAGCTTTCAGAGTTTGCTACAAAAACCCCCCATAAAAAAACCCAAACCATACATTTTCTGATAATTAAAATGCTGACCCTTAGAATTAACCCTTTCACTGCCATTGACAAAAGGCTTATGGGCTTTTATACACACTCCCAGTTGCTAAAGTCATAGCTGGGAGTGTGCTTACTCTTAACAAGCCGAATGTCAGCTTTCTTGTAGAAGTAAAGCTGCCTGATTACTTCTACACCCCTTAAAAAGGTACCACCCAAACTCCCCCACCCCCATTCGGAGGTGTTAACTGGCATTTGCTGATCGCCTCTACACCAAATGAAGCCAGAAGCAATGAGCTTTTCATCACTTTTGGTTTCTGAGCCGTCACAGCGGCTGGGGAGGAAGCTGATCAAGCATTATCTGAGATACTGGGGTTGATTTACTAAGGGCAAATAGGCTGTTCACTTTGCAAGGGAAATTGCACTTTGCAGGGGAAGTTTCCCTTAGCTCAGTGAATGTGGTGAAACTTCACTTTGTAAAGAATACCCAATCAAAAAAACTGAATTTTTCTTTAACATGATTGGGTAATGAAAGTGAGCAGAGCTTCCCCTCATTCACTAAACTCAGGGCAAATTTCCCTTGCAAAGTGAACAGTCAATTTGCCTTTCGTAAATCAACCCCAGAGTTGGCCAGCTGCAAGTGGTTCTGTTCCACAGTACCCCTTGAATCAGTGGCTGCAAAAGGTTAACCTGTATATATGGAGGCTGCTATTTCTTGGTTTGTAAAATATCAGCTTAGGGGCTCTCATTAATGAAGCAATGATCAGGATAAGTAAATTAACTCTAGAAATCATTGAAGAGTTTTTACTTTCCATCCTTCAGTAGCTGCATGCTTCTTCCGAGTCTGTGACATGCTAATTAGTTAAGTAGGGAGCAAATGTCAGCCCTGGAGCCTGTACCTTTAAAAGAGAACCATGGGGTAAGTGTTTTTCCCCATAGTTCTCTTTAGGGTCATGGGAGGACATAATATACTAGCCTCCTCCCGTGACCCAAAGCTCAGTATATAGCGGGTTATTGCCGCGATATACTGAGAGCGCCACAGCCAGGACGGATCCCGACAATACTGCTGAGATCCACCCAGCTGGCTGATTGGCAGCTGGCTTTGCCTAGCTAGAGGCAGAGCCAGCTGTGCCCGCTCCCTCCCCTGTTCGTTCCTCCACTCAGCACTGGAGGATCAGAGAGCGGAGGGGGGAATCCCTGCAGGGAGCGGTGACTGATAGTCATCGCTCCCTGCAGGGAGATGATCGGGAAGTGAGCGAATCGGCGGCATGTTTCTGCTCACTTCCTGATCGATAGAGCTCTAACTATGAAGATGAGTGGAAATCACTCACCTCAAAGTTCTCCTTTAAACAACAAGTCAGTCAAGGCAACTCCCATATTTCTCTCCTCAAAGGTTCACTTTAAAAACAGAATCATTTGATTTTTATATATTAAAATTGCGTCCTTGCTTTACCTTCATGGTGTGCATCCACTGGTAGGACCGAGCGTTTCCTGCAATAAAAACGACAATGATAAATGAAAATCCCAGTACAAGTTTCCTAATTACACAGTTAGTATAATAATAATAAATATAATTTACCTGATATGATCTCTTCCTCAAATATGTCGGAGAAGTCGTGTCCCGAGTTCAGTTTCTCTAACCGTCCATCAATAAACTGATTTGTAAGGAGACAGCAGAATATTGTACTATATTACAGTGTCTACAAATAAGATATATTCTGCTATACACAGTTTTAAATGATAAATTAAACAGCGCAGTCCCTCACTGTTGATTAGACAATGTTTCTTCCCTTGCACATCCGCACAGATTAATATAGCTGAACTTATTAGTGTACACACATTCTGGACTAGGTTCATGGACAGTGCACAGACAGAAGTTTTCTTTGAACCAAGTGGAGAGATGCTCACATGCTGACAGGCTGATTCCCAGTGTCTTATAAATTACACAGTGGTGGAAATTATCAGTGGTGTCATATAGTGAGGAATGTTTATGTAAGGCAAATATTCTATTGGAAAAATATTTCCAGAGGAGATTATATGTAACCAGTACAGTGATGCTGTTGGGTATGTATTTGAATGCAGGAAAACATGACGGCCGAATAAACATGTACCTGTTTGAAGAGCTGGAGGTTGACAGCGGTTTCTAAAAACTGCTTCATGGTGCTGGAGCGGTGTGCTACAAAACACTCTTCTGAAAAGGTGATTGGTTCCCCCTAAATAAATCGATTAGATCGGTCAGGAATAAGCAGTTCAATGGCCACAGATCAAACAACATCATTTTCATTAGCTGGTCTACAAAAACTGTTGTTTAGTAACAATCACAATTGAATATGTAAGGCTCCGTTTACACCTAGGCGTTTTGTCGCTCAAGACAAGGAATCCAATTGATTTCTATGGATCCTGATCACACCTGAGCGTTTTGTCGCAAATAGAAAAACCCTCATCACTGGAAAAAGTACATTAGCTAGTTTTTGGCAGATTACAGCGCTTTTTGGTCCCATAAACTTCAATAGGAAACAACTGGGGCCATAGAAATAAATGGGATTCTTTATCTTGAGCATTTTATAGACCTCAAAACAAGTGAATGGGATTCCCTGTCTTGAGTGTTTTGTCACTCTTACCTTTGAGTGACAAAACACCTAGGTGTGAACAGGGACTTAATGCATTTGGAAAAAGTTATCAGAACAGAAACATTTTTGGGCCCATACAGGTATATCGGCTGCACTGTTACACTACAAAACATTAACGTGTTGTAGCAATTCATTTATTTAACTGCTGATTAGAATTCCAAGCCAAAAGAGGGTTTCGTGGATATAAATTCATTTGGTTTTAGTCTCCTTTGAGTCCAATCAAGTCCTTTTCCATTCTTCTAAGTAGGGATGCACCGATACCGGTTTTTCGGTATTGAGTACGAGTACTGATATTTTTTTTCTGTACTCACCGATACCGATAACGGAATTCCCACTGAGGAAGCCAGGCGGCGTGTAATGATACGCCACCTGGCTTCCTGATTAGCAGGGAAGCCGTCCCCATGCTTCTCGTCACTAGGTGACGAGAAAGCATGGAGCCAGCTTTCTGGCCAATCAGGAAGCTGGGCGCCGTGTAATGACGCGACGCGCGGCTTCCTGATTGGCCAGGAAGCCGGCTCTGTGCTCCCTCATCATGAGGTGACAAGGGAGCATGAAGCAGGCTCCTGATTGACCGGGAAGCCAGCGCCATTCTCCCTCATCACTTATAACGAAGGAGCATGGAGCCGGCTTCCCGGCCAATCAGGAAGCCGGGCAGCGTGTAATGACTCGCTGGCCGGCTTTCTGATACCGGAAGTATTGGGCTAGGCGTCAGAGCATTTGGGCGAGTACTCGCCCAAATACTCGGCATCGATACTAGTATCGGTATGGGTGCATACCTATTTATAAGCCCTAATAAGGGAATTTGTTGCCCCCAAAATGTATTGGCTGTTTTATGTGACAGTAAATATAATTAAAGGCACTTTGGACTCTTTCACATTGTGGTCTGGTGTTCATTTGTATATCCATACATTAATTTACAGCGGCTGCCAAGGCACCACAGCACGCCAAAATTGGACCTGCTCTAATTTTTCTATATATCATACCATAACAAACAGGAGTGCATTGTAACACAGTTGCGTTAGTGTAGTGTGTTGGGCTGCTGTTCAAGGTGAATGTGACTACAGCGCAGAACACAGTAGTAACGTGCATTGTGGCAACACATGTTAAAATGTGCGCTACTGCAACCCAACAGGGAATGGGCCTCTAAATTAAAGAGACCCGGTCATGGTTGAGCATATTTAAGATTTTGAATAATCAGCCTTAATTTATTGAGAGTTGCGCACTTAGCAGCTATTTGACCTCACACTTAGGAGCTAGGAAACTGTGTGAGGTCAGGCAACTGACATGGCAGCAACTGTCAGACCTCGGACCCCCTACACAAACCAAAGTGACAGAGAAAGTAAAGCTAAATAGGGTACAAATATAAATCTCTCTTGTGGAAGACAGCACAGTTAAAATAACTCCAGACTTAAAATTCAGAATCTTGCATATATCAAATCATGTTTGGTTCTATTTAAGACAGTATAGTGAGAAGAAATGTTTCACCCTGCAGCTATTTCCTATCAAGAAATTCCATAAGAGAAACCTTTTAGTTGCCATCTTTTTCTTTAAATGTAAAAAATAACTGAATGACATTTCCAGACTGAAAGTAGCTCCATCTGAAGCCCACGTGACAGGGTGACAAAGGAGGAGCACAACTGGAAAACAGGTTATAACTGGGAGTGCCAGAACAACAACCCTCATGGCAGGATCACAAGATAATATTTTGATGAAAGCTGCACACCTAAAATATTAAAAATGTATTTTGAAAGGCTATAAACATGTTAAAGCCTTTTACTAATTGGGTTTACATATACAGTATTTTAGGTCACATATTTGATGTATAAACATAAAGTTTATATGTCATATATCTAAATTCATGAACAAGTGTATGTATATTTACATACGCAGTTTGAATACTGTTGGAAACTCATTCCCAAGTTTCAGACTTTATTAGTTTTTATGTAGTGTTCTTTAAACCCTTGGTAGCCAATAAACCATGCTGCAATAAATACACAGAGGCTTACACATAAAACAGAGGATAGTAAATGGAAAAATCAATATCTTACAGGTTTGTATCGGAGAGCATCCCTGTAGGAACCAAACAGGGTGGCCTGGGCTCTGAGAAAAGCTCGAGATACTCCATCTCCTGTTGATGTAGACTGCTTCTTCAACTTGCTTTTCAAGGTTGAGACCTGGGCCACATATAAGATAGAGGGGTGATTAAAGGATGTAGGGTGGAGTATTGAGAAGAAAGATATACACATGTATATATAAAACATTTAAATTGTTGCATATAGGTTTTACACAGGAAAAAAAAATGATTGACATTAAAAGAAAATAAATGCAGTACTCAAAAGTACAAAAGGAAACGTAGGAGGAGGGGATGGGAGTCACAAGGAAGAGGAAAATGACATGAGGGTGAGGGGGAGAAAAAGTGAATTAGCACCTGTGAAATTGACCTGGCGAGAGGTGAAAAGTATCCAGTAGTGTGGGCCTTATCCCCACAGGGTCAGCCCAAATCTCAAAGCCCTGTGCAAAAATGTATATTACACCTGCTGAACTGTTAATGGAAAGGGAGGTGGGGGCACCCCAAGGTGAGAAAACAATCTCTCTTACTTTCCTCTCTCTGGACCATCCACATAAACCTCTTTTATTATATGTAGTTCTTTACTATAATTATTACTGGGTGGAACTTTGACCTTTCTATTTATCCTTCAGGCTTTGGAAGAGACACCAAGCAGAGACATCCACTGTGTTGTGGGGCAGCTAACCCTTTCTATAGCATACAGGTAACCACACACTCCGTTTTACTGAAATATCCCTAATGGGGACACTATTCTGCTGTTTCAGCAATTAAAAGATGTAAAAACTGATGAAAGGTCAACATGTTTTACATGCAATGTGACTCATTTTGCACTCTACTTTAAAGTGGGTAAAAATGTTTATCAACGCATGTAAACATGTGCACTGATGTGTGTGTTTTTAAGTCGTGTTTACTTCAGTGGATACACACATGCATTAAAACAGACAAATGTGAATAGTTCAAACGAAGCATACTTTTCCAAACTTTGAATTGTCTGCTTCAAACTTTTAGGCATTCAGGTTCAGAAGTTGTGCAGAATCGGAATACAAATAGATGAACAAAATTATGATATATATATATATATACACACACACACACACACACACACACACACACACACACAAGTACATACATATACAGTATTACAGGTGCACTGAAATGGAATTTTTAGACTGAAACCAAAAATAAAAAAATTGTCAGGCCGAAACTGAAAATCATTTTTTTTTCTAACCTTTTTAAAAAATGTTTTAATATTTACATTTTTTTTTAATTATTTTTTTTTGCTTTACTGTCGGGGGCTCTGGAGAAATATCAGGGGTCGAAACAGACTCCTGATATTTCCCTTTTGAAATAGATAAAGAGATTGAGGACACAGAATCCTAAATCTCTTTTTCTGCAGCCCCTGTTATGAATGAACAGGAAGCCTCTTTACTCCTGTTCATTCATAAATTAAGGATATAGTATGAGTTACTATTTCCACAATCATGAATGAACAGGAAGTGATGTAGAGGCACTTCCTATTCATTCATAACTAGGGACACAGTAAACATACTGTGTCCTCAATTATTTACAAACACTAAACGATCAGCTTATCGATGAGCGCTTGTACTCCGCTTTCCATCCTAACTCGTTGTCACGGGAGGCCGAGCGGGGCGGTGCAGGAGGAGAGCTTGGCCTCCTGTGACACACTCACAACGCTCTCCCCCCTGACCTGCTCGGCCTCCTGAACATTTCTCCCCTCCCCAATGGATGTTGCCCAACTGCCATATTTCAGTGTATCTTATATATATAATTTATTTTTTCCTTTAAAAAACAAAACAAATAAATGAGATACAAGATTCCCATTACATTCACTTGTGTTATGGATATCTTCTGAGGCATAATATTATTTACTATTTACAGGGCAACACAAACTGGCGCTATATAAATCCTGTATAATAATAACGATGGGTCTTATGACATTAGGTGACAAACAAGGACAGTAACTGATAGTAACCCTGACTTGCCAGCTGTTCATGGTGATATGACTGGTTAAGACTGACCATGGTAACTTTGACTTTTACATAATTTAAAAATGTACTAATACAGGTGAAACTCGAATAATTAGAATATCGTGCAAAGTTCATTTATTTCACTAATGCAACTTAAAAGGTGAAACTAATATATATGAGATAGACTTATTACATGCAAAGCAAGATAATTCAAGCCGTGATTTGTCATAATTGTGATGATTATGGCTTACAGCTCATGAAAACCCCAAGAACCCCAGATCCACAATCTCAAAAAAGTAGATTATTACATGCAATCAATAAAACAAGGATTGTACATAGAACAATATCGGACCTCTGAAAAGTACAAGCATGCATATGTACTCAGTACTTGGTTTGGGCCCCTTTTGCAGCACTTACTGCAATTACTTTTGCACGATATTCTAATTATTCGAGTTTCACCTGTAAATGTAATAATATTTGAAAAAATTTGATACATATGAAAGTGTAAAATATCCATTCCATTATACAATTTATTTATTGCTATGGTGAACATCACAATACAAGGGATACAAAGGATGTACCATATACCATAAAAGCAGACTGCAGAGCCATTTGTTGGAATTTTACCAGTCTCAACAAACCACAGAGAATGGCGGAGGCCAACACTGCCTACATGCAAAGAACACGCTTTTTGTCATGTTTCAGTAACAAAACCTCAATACCAGACCAACAAGTAAATTAAAGGAAATTGCTAGCGAATGCTGTCTAAAGCAAAGTGCAATTTGAAGCTTCAAACTTCAGAAAGATGTTTAAAACCCCAAAACACCAATTAGCAAAGTTATGGATTTGTTAAAAAAAACCTTTACATTTATTATTTTAGTGCAGTCAGTATAAGTACCTAAATATGTTTTTGTGCAATCCCCCCACACAGCCATACCAGGGACAGAGAAATTAGCACTAGCAGCCTGTCAGGTATTATGCTTTTCACATGTGCTAACAAGGAAGAGATAGCAGAGCCTTGACTGTCTGGATACTGTGCCTGAATCACAAAAGTAACTGAACAGAACTGAAAATATGAAGGTACATATGACACATTTTTGTATTTCAACTGGGTTTATCTAGTTGCCTGGAGTTCAGCGTTAATGATATTAATAGAACACAATAGAAACAAATTTTCTTTCAACTTTCCAGACATATAATCCACTTGTTTAATACAAAAAGGAGATGAACATTCATACAATTGTACGTAAGCCCCCCTTAATGATTATAATGAAAGAGTCAAATTAATTAACGTATAATCCTGGTAGGCTTCTCAAAAGGGCGGAGGGAGGCTCTAGAGAGTGAAATTAAAGCAAAGGACCTTGCTGTGGGTGAGGAGGGCATTAGCATGGGTGACATTCTGTACAGTTCAGTCCTCCCATGTGAGCACATCAAAGAAAAGATGATGCCCCACTGGGTATAATTATCATACTGCTTGAAAGGGGGGGGGGGGGGTTCTGCTATGTAGAAAGTACCAAGTTGCTCATACTTACATGCTTTGTTTAATGATATCCTCATTGCCTTGTTTATAGATGTCTGACATATTCTACAAGGCTGGATAATGCAATGTTGAATGCAGCATATAAACAGACTGCAAACGGCATATCCGAACCTTAGTATTTGCCAAAATACGGATAAAGTAGATATAAAAGGGAAACATTTACTGCATTGTAATGCTGGGTATACATTTGCATTGTATTAACATTCTTCCCCAGCAATGCATTATGTGAAATAAAATGACCCGGCATCTCTCATTTATTGTTCTGTGAACCTTTGAAAGCCAAGGAACTGATTGTTCCCGGACATATTCTCTGTGACTTGTTTTTATCCTTCAAATACCCCAGCTATCTCTACCATCTGTAACACAATATATTGTATTAAAAATAAACAAAACATATACATGCTTGGAACTTTAGGGTAAACTTATAGGGATTAATAAATTACCAAAGCAGCCACCCTCCAGCATCAAAATAAATGACTACCGACTATTGCAAAATTCAGATTAGTAAAGTCATTGGCAGCCTCCTTAGTTACAGAGCTCATGTGATTTTGCATTGTAAGACTGAGAGGCATGTCACGATGAGGACGTTTGCAGCATAATTGGGATAACACCTACTTTATACAGTATTTGTTACATGATCAAAAATTGCTGCTTACCATTTTAGTTGCTCTTTCTGAATGAGAAGATTTTCTCTGAACTGAAATTTTCCACTGGAATGCAGGTATTTGAGGAGGTTAATGTTTATGATAATGATTCCCTTGCTGCATCATGCAGGTCCCAGTTATTTTACACATTCTGCTGAACTGAGGAAGAAGTTGTTTTGGGAAACTAGAACAGTGGACCCTAAACTGTAGCCCTTTGCTTGGCTTTGGGGCACTATTCCTCCCTTTCCCACAATTGATGGGGCACAGTTCCTCCCATTGAGCCCATAGAAGGTGCACAATTCCTGCCATTAACACCACAAATGGGGCAGTATTCTATAAACTGACACGAACTACAGGGCACTATACCTCCCACCCATACCGATGATAGGGCACTATTCTTCCTACGGATAGCAATGAAGGGGCAATGTTCGTTCCACCGATACCACTGATGGGGCACTATTCTTCCCACTCAGACCAACAATGGGGCACTATTCTTCCCACTCAGACCAACAATGGGGCACTATTCTTCCCGATGAGACCAACAATGGGGCACTATTTTTCCCACTCAGACCAACAATGGGGCACTACGTTTCCAACTAATACCTGTAATGAGGCACTATTCCTTCCACTGATACCAGCAATGGGGAACAATTCTTCTCACTGATACCAAGGATAAGGAGCTATTCCTCCAGCTAACACTAACAATGGGACTCTATTGTTCCCTCTGAAACAAACAATGGGGCACTATTCCACTCACTGACCACAGGTACTAGGTCATTTTTTTTACTCTCCACCGAGCTTGGAGGCAATAACTCCCACTGATGTCAAAGCATTTCTACTCCCACTGGGCACAGGCTCACCCCCTTAGGGCCTGTTCACACCAGCCTGTGTGCATAATGCTCTGTACAACATGCATACACTGGTGTATCACATT